CCGACAGTCTGTCTACCATGCAGGAGCAGCAGCAACAGTAGCGGTCTAACTGCTGCACTCTACACTCGACCCATCACAAAAAAATCGAAAATCGCGACGGCACCTAGGAGCGTCTCAAATTGGCCAACACCTTTATGCTTCCTGAAAATTCATGCGAGATATTTCTACCAGGAGCGATAAATCAGAATACAATTTTGGTTCTCTATATTGGCAACCTCAGATATGTGCTGTTTGGTTAACAAATATTTTCAGAGTCTGATCCAACAACAAATTGCTGGAACCGATTTTTTTCATCTCTAGTCTGTTTGAATTGGCCTCGATGTGATCCTTTTGAAATATTGAACCGTACGGTACATTATCAGAGATCGATGATATGCAATACCAATACTTCGAATATCTTATTTAAATTCTTTTTCCTCCATTCAACCCACTTCAGGGGATCGAACTGATCACATCGTTCCGTAAATTGCTCAATCCGCACCAAGTGTTCAATTTGGACTACGGCGGTCCATTACCAGGGCTGCACTGTTTTCGACACTTAAAGCGTTTCAAAATTCTTGTTTGCGGTGGTGACGGAACCGTGGGTTGGGCTCTGTCGTGTCTGGACAACGTCGGTCAAGATGCCGCATGCCCAACTCCTCCGATGGCAATCTTGCCGTTGGGTACAGGAAATGATTTGGCTAGGGTGCTACGCTGGGGTTCCGGTTACACTGGTGGCGAGGAACCTTTGTCAATACTTAGGTCAGTTTGCCCCTATCTATCCCTTGATGGTTGGATAAGCGACTTGATCAGGTGTGGCTTTTGGATTTTCAAGTGTTGAATAGTAAATGCTTTGCAGGAAAAATAGCTCGTCTTTAGTCAAGTGTATCCGTACCGCTCTGTCATTTAACACAATAGTTGTGACCAGATTCTATCCTCTATTTATATTTTCCGTTCCAAACTTACAGTTTTAACTGCATCAAATGTGTATTGTGTTAGAACGGACTGCTTCTGATGACAGATCCGATCCGTAGATGACTCCTCTCTGTTGGACTGAAAGAATCTAGGTAACGTGATGAGCCCTGGGTTTGAACGTCGGCATTTATTTGCGGTACCTGTTTTTACATCAAATAACAACCATTCACATGTATCCAAAGGTACTTTCTTGGGGACATGATTTTCATTGGAGGCTTTAGTTTCAAGAGTGAAATTTGTGCAGAACAACCCAAAACTCCCGTCACCATCTAGCTTGAATCAGAAACAGGCATTATACGTATTTTTGTACTAGGTGTGCGACTGAGGTATCCCCTCACGTGACGTACGCATCAATCACCTCATCTTTACACATTGGAAGGATCCCATCCATCTTTTTTCATGTATTCCACTGGGTCGCCTACTCTGTCAAGTACATTTACTCTCCAAGTTCACCAACCCTGACCGATCTACCACTACATGTATCGGCAAACATAGTACGCTGAACAATTCTGTCCGGATCCATGTAAGTATTACATGTACACGCTATCAAGATACATGTAGGTCAACCATTCCGTAGTGTTCGACAAACCACAGTTCTCGGTGCAACCACAGCATTGTTTTTCCGCTTGTCCCAACAGCCTCAGACGGTGCGATGTAGTTGGTGATGTTTGAACGATGCCGATCTACGGGGATCTTCCTCATGTCATGACCACAGAGTTGAACCGGCCAAACTGCTGCTACTATCCCTATGAGCTGAACCCTTGTTAATGGATGAATAACGCAGTGACCCAAGCTGTGCGTTTACCACTTTTACCAATACCAAACTGACATTTTGATTGCGTTATAGATAAGCATCCCGGATTCGTCCATAACAAGGAGATGCAACACCTAATTCTGGGTAAATTGATAACTCGATGGGCATGGTTGTTTTGTCTTACATCCTTACAGAAAACGGTTAAGGTCGAGCAAATTCAGCTACTCAGTGATGGTTTTGAAGATGTCTATCTCATTCGAATGGCCTGCATTACAGGGCCAAAACTGTGCCACGACAGTTTCCCACCAGTTCTTCAGGCGCTAAATCGTTAACAGTAAAGATCTGTTAGACCGAATCACCCTAATTAATTCGGTATTAAGATCAACAGGATCTTGTGTCCATTACTATTTCTAGTATTATTTATGTTTATTACATAACTTTGTTAATATATATTTTTACAATAAGGAATATATATGAATGACTGGACAAAATTTCCCTGGAAGCCCACGACAGGTTTCGTGGTTCTTGTTGCCTATCAGGCATGCGTATCTGGTAGTCTTTTGTCTTTTTCATTCATACACTTGTACCCACTAAGCGCATTTTCGTCACAATAACCTCGTTTGCAACACCCGGTAAATTTGCTTGCTCTTTCAGAGCCAGTCGATTGGTGAATCAATCCTATGTTTTGTATGTGGGTTAGTTGCAACTAACCGCAATAGATGCGACGTAAGCTTCTTTATGCGTCTTGATATATATATATATATATATATATATATGTATATTGTGGTGATCGTGTTACGAGTACGCACGCACCACGGTACAGCATCCAGGTAACCAATCAAGAAACGGAATATCCGACCAATTCTGTGGTCTTAATTGGCAGGAACCGGATTGGCTGAGTGCACTTAGGCAAACAGATAAACCATGTCATTGTCGATTGGACATTCAAGAATCGGTCAATGATTGTTTGATGCTTGTAATATGTATTTCCATGATTTTCTGAATAGAATTAACTCTATCCACAGCTCGTCTTGGTTCTATCTGACTTTGCG